TAAACACGTTATATACTATATACATGTTACAGTACAGTCTTCCCTACATGTGATGAATTAGTTCTGTCACCATGTTTTATTTCAGCCTCCACAGTAACATCGACTGCATCATGTAGCACATTTGTGTACACCTGTTTTCCACCAGAGGGCGCTGTACAGCATGTGAGTGCGCAGATGATCCAGGCAGAATGTTTGACCTCCTGCTGTCGTCCTCCCGCAGATTGAGAGCCACAAACTGAGCTTCCGTGAGACAGCCAAGGCCCGCACTGACCACGGCGCTGAGATCGTGTCTTTGGAAGACTCCCCCCACCAGCTCAGCACCGTGTCCTCCTCCGGCAGCATCAACATGACCGACTCTCCGCAGCTGTCCACACTTGCTGACCAGGTGTCCGCCTCTCTGGCCAAACAAGGCTTGTGAATGCACCCTCCACCTCCACTTCCTCCACCACACGACCACGTAGAGGAGTTGTGATGCCTTCCTCATTATTTTCACAGGACTTTTTTCGCTACCCACCACTGTTTATCCCTCACTAACCTTTGAAACTCCTCGAGGCGTTACTTGTAGAGAGAAAAAAACCCAGATTAACAAGTAGACCGACATGTCTTTGGTTTCTCTCTCTGTGATCTTTGATATCTTTATTTGCTATTTCTACCTTTTGTAAGTCTCCCTTTAAGAGTTAAAGCACCCCAGCACAGCCAAATTCTCCCTGTGAATCTGAGGATCTTCATACGTGTCCTGGTGAATCTGACGTCATTTAACACTTGGTTTCCCGTCACATTGACTGTAAACCCTTTAGGAAGTTAAGTCCCCTTCGATGGGTGCCCCCGATATTTCTTTTGATATAAGTGGAGGTTGGGTCCAGTTAGTGCTGCGGCAGAAGGAACAGGGTACGGTGAGGGGTGTCGGAGGAAAACTGTTAAAAAGAAAAGTAGCGATTTTTTTCGTCAAGGCAGAAAAGAAATGCTTTCAGACCTCAGTGCTGTCTTTGCTTTGTGTAGTCCCGACACGACAGGGGAGTAACCTGGATTCAAAAAATAAAAAATAAAAAAAATAGAACGGCTAGAGTAGAAACTTTGGTTTGTGTTGGGCACAGTTTTATAATCGTACTCTGTGGATATATGACATGTATTTGATATGAAGAAACATTTGTATTGTGCCTGCTACTGTCAGTGTTAATTTTCTTTGTTTTTGTTACTGCTGTATTGTAAATGCGCTAAAGCTTGAGGAAATTAACCTTAAAGTGTAACTTTCATGGCCAAATTATTATTAAGAGGAATAGAGACAGTTCATCATCGATATTTAAACTGCTGTATGCACATCAAAGGTAGGTAGAGTAACGCTCATCACGATTACTGAAAATATTCTTAAAGAGAGACTACGTAATGATCAGATGATGCTAAATGCTAAGCTAGTAGTTATCATTTAGCTGAAATGCTAAGCTAGGAGTCAGATATTAGCCCCCGAAGATTCCGGTCACCCCGACTGAGTGCGGCCGCAGCAGTGACAAACCGTCAGCGTATTAAACTACGTTAAAGTGTTATTTCCTCTCCAACGTTACATAGTCTCACTTTAAAGGCTGAAAAAATGTCGTATTTTAAAATGTACTCAACCAGAATGAATATTGCAAAGCGGATGGATGTATGATGGATGGATGACAGATGGACGGATGATGGATGGACGGATGGATGATGGGTTGATTGGGCCAAGTTGAGATGAAGGAAGCTGCACAGGAATGATTTCATCTGTATCTGTACCTGAGCACCGAACACTGGATTCATCATGACGTGACTCGGCTGGTTGCTTTTATCTGAAGTGATGAAGCTGCACTACACGGCCAAAAGTATGTGGACACCTGAATATCACACCCGTAGAGACCCTGTGTCCTCATCACAGCATCACATTTGGACTTGACCTTACACTTTATTCTACTTAACTCAGACCTGTTGTCCTCGTTCACAGGCACTTTTTGTGCCATCTAGTGCTAGTAAGAGCACAATACACTGATCCATGTAAAAAACAAGATGGCCGCCATCTCTGCAAAGTCAGTCTGCAGCTGATCCAGGTCCAAAACCTGATCACATGTGATGGTTGAAACGTGATTGAGAACGTTGGGACTTTATTATCGTCTCGTTTGAGGACATTGAGGCTTAATCATCGACAGTGTTAAGTTGTTATGCTCAGCAGGTCCTGCTGATCCCACGTAGCTATGGGAAATTAAAAATACACACAACCAACAGTCCAGGTCTCAGGAGGACATGTGGGTTTAAGTATCCTGTTCCAACACCATGTGCTTGAATCTGCTGCTAACAGCCTCCACGTAACGTGTTTGAACCCGGCTGCACAATTGTGCTCCAGTTATTAATGTTCAACACTTCCCGCTCTTTTTAGCTTGTGACGACCACCTTTGTTTTATGTGGTCACTTTTTAGAGTTGAGAAATGTCCGAGTTGGTCTCAAAGAAGAGTGGGGAGTAAGTCTCATTAATGGGCGCTCTCTGTCTCGTTATCTGTGCGTTCCAGTACCCAAACTAGCAGACGATATAGTACGCCAGATCAAGATTCAGTATGTGAAATGCAGTATGCCAAGGATACCAGGATGTTTAATTACATCCAGTTGGATTTTGCAGTAAGACAGTATGCTTTTCTGACCCACAGGGTGTCACAGATATAACCGGGTTCAATAGGAGACTGTTTAACACCACCTTACATGATATTTCAGACCAAACCTGCATGCTATTTATTATTGCAATTCTTCCGTCTGTGCAATGAGTGTAAACAGTCATTGTGAGCAACAATAGTTAAGACCTATCAGATCTGAATTTAAGACTTTTTATGGCCTTATGTTAAGGAAACTTAATTTAGGACATTTTAAGGACCTGTGGACACCCTGAACCCACAATCCTCTGCAGCGAAAGATGAGTCACATTGATAGATGACAGCCTGTTTAAGTGACTGATGACCAGTTGATGAGTAATTAAAGGAATATTAACTGGTTATATTTGATTATTTTATTCAGTCAAACAGTGTTAAATAACGACGACAGAGAAACGTACAGCTTCTGTAATGTTGCTATCATGACTGTAACATGTTAGAATCTACAGTGTATGCTGTTATTACAAAATAACATCAGAGTAGTCAGGGTTCACCTCTGTCTCCGGCCAGCTCGCTGAACTTATTTGATCTCCATGGTAACGGATATATGAGTAAGAGGGTCAAGGTTTAGGATTAAGCACTTCTTAAGGGCAGCTGCAGCACACACTAAAAGTAACAAGTTAAAGACTCTGGATGCACGCTGTGTTTCTCTCGGCAGCAGCTGGTGAGTCCTGTGCGCCACCTAGTGGTAAGATTTGGTACACTGTTTGGCTCGGTATGAACTGGTTTGAAAGCATTTCCATCAGTCTGCCCCTCCTGTTCATCGCCTCATGACCCCGTCAAGATTATCTAGACCCCTAGTGGAGGGTTTTGTTCCTGAACGTGGGCACCACAGTGACATACTGCACGCTGGGAACTGAGGAGTCTGCTCCAACAGCCTCACAACATGAAGTGCAGTAGTTGGCAGGGTCGTCCACAAACTTTTGGCCACATGGTGTATTTCAGCTCCAGAGCCCATGCAGAGACAGGGCCACGGATAAGAAAAGATTACGATGGAGTGATTCAACTATTTATCTGTAAAGACTTTTTATTTGTTGAATGAAACGAATGCGAGCAGCTTTTATCCTCCATTTCTAACAAGAACAATTTTCCCTTAAAAATATACTCGTGCTCAAAAACCGTCCTGATGTTGATCAATATTCCCAGTGACTCATCACTATTACTCGCATTAATATGAAGTGAAACAACTTCTCGCATGCACCTCATGTAAGAGAGTCTGCTTGTTGCCTCCCCCCTTCACAAAGTGGTCTCTTTGTATATCCTGTCTTATACACACTCTCTAGATTCTGAAAGACGTCCTGATCCAGGACTTAAAGAAAAACACAAAGTGGTTATACGGAGTCAGAAACACTTTGCACCCAGCTTTAAGTTTGTTGCCAACATAGATATAAAAGTGTTTTATCTCTATGATCGCAAAGATGCTACGTTGTTTGCTGATAGGACGTAAGGATGTGCTCGCAACATTACCTGCATGCATTTTAATTTTACACGAATAGACCACATTCGTCTCAGTGTGCAGGACAGACGTGAGAGCTGAGGGACGGGAGCTGCTCCCGCCGTGCACAGGAGACACAGTGTGCAGTATAATGTGCGTTCACTGGGTCCTCTCGTGTCTGACAGGAGTTTTTCTGCAGTAACAAAAACTCATCACCTTCTTTTTGGTTCTTCTGACGCTGTACAGTTGTGGAAATGTGATTGTTCTTGTTATTGTGCATTTGATCAATAACTGGTTTATGATGATTCTTGTTGCTGTATATGTGTATTTGAAAATAAATGCTATGAAGTCACTGTCGTCTTGAAGTATGCAACACAAGTGCTGTCGGAAATCTCTCCCTGTTTACACGTGGTGCTTTAAATTCACACACTTTAGTGAAAAAATAAAAGCTGTGATGACACAGATTTGGTCCAAAGTTCAGTTTACAGTTGAATTACGAGTCAATAGATTTTCACCCGTGACCTTGGGAGTGATTTCAGACAGTTTCTGAAGGACTTGAGGCCAGAACAATAACGCCAAGTTAAACATAAATGTTTTAATGGTACTATTTACAAAAAAGAAAAAACAATTCTGCTTTTTGATTAGGTTAACTGCTGCAACAATCGAACAGGTACATTGACATCTTGCTTAAACTACAAAAGAAAAAACAGTGATTGAATGGCTGTGGCATAAAAAGGAGGTGTAAAATGAAAACAACCATAGTCTTTTTTTTTTGCATAGCAATTAGTTACTTGAGGGGGCGAGAAGAGTTGTGGTTATGACGTTGGTGGGGTGGCAAAAAACAAAAGTTTGTCATCTGGATCTGATCAGAGTGGAACTGTTGAACAGCAGAAAATATTCCCTTAAATTGAAAAACCTGAGCTCGGGGTGGCTTCTAGCTGAGAGCTGCTACATTTGAAGTGTTTGCAAGAGAAAACTTGTCAAGTTGAACCAGAAGAAAGAGGAAGGGGGATGTAATTGTGTTATGTCTTTATTTTGCCACATTTTTCTAATACAGCAACGACTGTACGCAGAGAGTGAAACTAGCAGATGGTACAATCATCCCCATCACCTGCCGCTTGGTTCTTTTTTTTAATAAGTGGAAATCTTACTGTGTGCTGTTGTGATAAGACTAACATTAGCATGTTTTTTAAGCATGCAGCAGCGCTGTTCTGTAGGGCAAGTGCTCAAAAAAAGACACCCCAGTCCTCTCTATGCCACCACCCTCTTAAAAACCAGAACGGAGAGCATAAGAAGAAAACGGCGGGGCGGAGACAGGAGCTGGACACTCTGCAGAAGGAATGATTTACTATTCAAAAAACACAAAGAATGTGTTACGTACGCAGGAACAGACAGAACAGATACAAATAAAACATGTCAGGAATGAAAAAACAAAGAAAAGCAAACCAACAAAACTAGACTTGGCAGTTGGAGAAGTGCTCTGGTGATTTCAGGCGACCTCTAGAGGGAGAAGAAGGGAACCACATCTCAAATGTACCTGTTTATTTGGATGAGGAAGAGGATGATGAAGGGTGGAGGGGGAGGAGGGGGGGTATTTTTTCTCGTTTTGTTATTTGTCACTCCACTAAAAATGTACATGGGAATTACAAGCAAACTAGTCAATAGAAAACACCCTTTGGCCATATTTTGAGGAGTCCGCTACATAGTGCGCTACAAGTGTACACGCGACATATGAAACACCACTAAGCCCCCATGTACATTGTTTAGCCTACTACAGAAAACATTTTTTGTAACGTGTTGTTTTATACTTTTTTTTTTACATTTATCCTTTTTTTCCTGTGACAAAAACAAGTGTAGGGAAAGGCTTCTATCTCCATAATGTTCACTAAAAACTGTGAAAGTATTAGACTGATGTTTGAATATCAAACAACAGGAACCCATTTAATATCTTATTCTGCTTTGAGGTTCTGCTTGTTAATGCCAGAGAGGAGCTGTGGGTGGGGGAGGGGCGGGGGACCTCAGCCTGTCAGTCATTCATCGGTGGGTGGTGGTGGTGGTGGAGGCGGCCTTGAGTTTGGGGCCGCTGTCGTCGTCACAAGGCAGCTCCATGTCGTCCGAATCCAGCCGGCCGTAGGCTGTTGCTCGGCAACCTGAGATGCTGCGCATTCTGGGCCTGATGTGGTGGTCGCTCTCTGGCTCTGGCTCCGGGGCCGGGTCCTCTGGCAAGGGGAAGCTGCGACGTTCCCACGGCGCGACCGTCTGCAAACATCAGACAACGTTCATGAAGAGACCCTGAACACATCTGTGGGATATTTACATGTAATCATGACTAACTAAAAAGTCACGCGTGTCACAATTTAACGGCAACACAAGTCTTTGTGCAGAATGAAAAATAAAAAAGGTACAAAAATAAAATCATAGTGGGCAGGGCCATTAAACATGTCGAAAAGATCAACATAGTATGTCCAAAAAAGACATATTATGTTATATTTTTTTGTGAGTCATGGGAAAGTATGGCGTTAAAAATGTCCAGAAAGTAACAGTAAAGAGTAAAGAAAAGTTTTGTGTCAAAACATAAAATAATAATAGTGTTCATTTTTTTTAAGTCATAGTTGAGTATATCATAACATTGTGCCATAGAAACGTTTAAGAAGGGTCACAGTATAACTTATCAAAAATGTTTTTAAACCTATAGTACATTAACATTTTTTTTTAGTCATAGTATAGTATGTCAAAAATATAAAAAGCAAAGTCATAGTTCAGTATTACCTTTTTTTGCTGGACAAAAATCACGTATAGTACATATTTTTTAAATCATTGTATAGTGTGTTAAAAATGTAATAACAGAATGTGATAATATGGTATGTCCTTTTTTTTGTCATAGCAAAGTATGTCAAGTCATTTTTTAAGAGATCACAGTATAGTGTCAAAAAAAGTGGAAAACAATAAAGTCATATTACAGATTTTTTAAGCCTTAGCATACTATTAAATAAAAGTTAACAAAAGCATGCCGTAGTGTTGAATGTCATGACTTTTGAAAATAAAAAAATTCAAAAATATTTAAAAGTCATATTATAGTAAGCCACAAAAATAAAAGTTCCAGTACAGTGTGCCATAAAAATAAATTATAGTCTGTCATAAAATAAAGTTATTACAGACAGTACCGACTGTCATAAAACTGAAGTAACAAAAACATATTAATCATGTCCTTTGTCTAAAGCAGAGAGATTATATTATATTATATTATATTATATTATGTGCACAGCAGCAGCAGCAGCAGCAGCGGGTTTGTATCAGGAGCTGCTGCTGGTTTAAAACACAGTCAGGACATCTGAGCATCTGCTGTTTGATATAAAGTCAGTCAGCTGTATTTATGTCGTCTCACAGGGCTTTACAAAGTATTGTGTATGATGTGGTCGGACTGACTTTTAATTTCAAGCCTACCAAATGTATTAATTTATTACTTGAGCTAGTGAAGCCTTCACAGGTAACACAACGTGAAAGGTGCGACAAACTCAAAATGTTTCTGAGGGACTAAGGTCGAGCAGATTGGGAACAAGTGTAGCTGTGAGTTCATAGTAATATAAGCACATGTATTATCATGGTCACGTTAAGGCCTGTACGTGTGTGTAAGTGCCCGACAAACAGGGATGTTCATGATTTACTGACAATCACAAAAAGAATGTGACGCCTAAAGGAGAACAGTGTGTATGAACCATCCATGTGTTACACTGGTTCACACGCTGTTCTTTCAGGAGTTAATTATTCACATCACATTTCAGGTCTTGACACTGACGAGGTAGAAAAACTGAGACACTTATTTTGCTTTCTCTTGTGGTTTAAAACAAATATAACGACAAACATAATTTACAGTGAACAAACATCAAACGAGGGTTCGACTGCAGCAGAACGTTCCTCACAGGTCCGATCATCTGGACGCTCTTCTAACAGGAAGCTGATGTTTGATCCCTGCTGGATGAACTTTAGCGATCAGAGTACGTACCCTCTCTTCAAAGGTGAAGTCCGGCGTAGAGCACCGCGTGTCCTCGCTGGACAGCAGCCGATGGGAGTCTCTGGAGCAGGGCGTGTGGGGGTTGGAGGTGGTGTCGGGGCTGGCTGGACTCATGGGTGACGGCACGTGGCTGTAGTCGTGGAGCATGGGGCAGTGGCCTGGGTCTGGGGACGCAGGCTGAGGGGTGGGAGGGTTGGTCCCGCACAGCAGTGGTGTGGTGCGCCCGTCCACAGATTTGTACGACCTGAGAGACGAAACACGGATGATGTCACCACTACAGCGTACAGTTAAAGACCAGCATGTGACTGTGTGTGCGATGGTGGTGGTAGCGACCTGCTGCCCCTCCTCTTAGCAGGAGCCAGGGCCATCCAAGTCCAGCGGGACCGCTCCTGGTCCTCGTGGGGCTGATGGAGCTGAGTGAAGGCTGCGTCGGACAGATCCTCCACCTGCAGACACACAGGACACAGTCAGCACCCTCAAAGTGTGCCTACGACTGTTTGGAAGCCTATTGTTGATTGTTTATGGCACGTATTGAACAAAACAAGCCCAATAATTCTCTGCAGGACTCACAAAGTTAAATTGAAGACATTTGTAATAATCCACAGAATGTAATTTATTACTTATTTCACGGTTTCACCAGCCGACATATAAAAGATACGAGTGAAAACCAGCAGACATGATGAGGCCCAGAATTATTCACCAAGCACATGAATTAATGACACTTGTGTCACGTTCTTTGTCACCACTTCTCAGCTGAATACACGAATAACTCCTGGTGACATCATCATGAAAAACATCTGAGCAAAAGGCTGGAAGAACATTTCAGACCTCTGTGAATTAAAGTCTCCAGACCTGCAGCCGATTTACTTTTTATTTTTTAGTCTCTCAAACTGAACATTTTCAGGTTTTGGACTGTTGCAGGGCGTCGACAGACTCTAGATGCAAATTAACTTTACCTAATGGATTATTGGGAGAGTTAATCGTGACTTAAATATGCATGTTTTCCTCAATCAATGCTCACAGCAACATATTGCATACACTCTGAAAGCATTGCCTTGTCTGCTGATTAATCAATTATTTTTCACATGTTCGATCAAATTCTTAACGAATGATTAGGTGCAACAGTTTGAGATTTTCTCGGTTCAAAAACCATCTTTAAAATATCACAGTTTTACGGTACCATTTCATTACAGGATTTATATCATTATCGGTCAGAGTGAGCCTCAAAGGAATAAAAACAGAAGGGTTGTTTTTAGTTTAACAAATGTTTCATTACTATAATTGAGTTGTTGATGGAAGTTTATGTGAGAAGTCTCTCCTCAGAAAATAATTAAATAAAGA